TTGTTTTAATTTCTGTAAAGAATTTAAAGAGTATGTATTTGAATACTTGATATTTTCTCTATTGAATTTTTCTTTATATCTATAGATTTGCCACTCGAGGTAATGTATTGGATTTAGCTATTGGTATTGTTATTGGAACTGCATTTACTAATGTTATTCAATCACTTGTTGATGATATTATTACGCCTCCGTTAGGTTTAGTATTGGGTGGTGTTGATTTTGCTAATTTAACAATTAAAATGAAAAATTTTGTTTATACAAATCAACCACCAGTTGTTATTCGTTATGGAAAATTTATTCAATCATGTTTTACTTTATTAATTATAGCAATGACGCTTTTCTGTATTATTAAAGCTATAAACCATCTCTATAAGATAGCGGCTAAAAGGAAAGAAAAAAAGAAAACAGACACCGATGTCGAAATAAGTGAAGAAATAAAAATATTACGTGAAATTCGAGATCTACTAGCTAACAAATCGTCTGCAGCAATAACACATGTTGAAGTATAATTAGTCTATAATATTTCTATATATTTCTTTTATGACTCTCCCGAAAAAACTTCAATATATATATATATCATGTACTTGAATAAGCGTGAGTTTTGACTGTTTTTTTTCGAAATAAAATTTGATTTTTGGTAAGATATGAACGAATGAATGAATGAATAAATAAATAAATAAATAAAAGTTTTTCTGGAAAAGTGTATAAATCATTTCATTGATAGTTATGAAAAATAAATGGATTTAGATGAATATGTGATGTCGAAACAATATTTTAGACGCTTGAATTCTGTAGTGTCTTAATAAATGACCATATATTCACGAGAGAACCTCGCTAACTGCTAAGATTTTTATCGGCATTATGAGTTTGACTTGTGCACAAAATAGGAGCTCAAACGGAGTGTATCAGTTGGTGAGGTCCCTCGTTAATAGTAACAAAGTACAATAGGATCACATTGCATAAATGGCCTATATGATATGAATCAAGAGCACTAAGGAATGAAAAAGGAGTGAATTTTTGTCAATCTATATGGGTAATAGATTTCAGTATAAAACAAATTGCTTTTTGTCGTGCATTTATCAAATTGCAACTATGATTTCGGTCAAACATCATTTTCCATGGAAACATTGTCGATCTAGGTAAGGTTTCATTCATTCTAGAGCGTTGATTCGTCAACGAATATATACATTCAGCTAATTTAACTTTACAAATTTCATATCACTTAATTAATATGTTGTTTCTTTCATACAGTACTTGAACACATCGAAATAATAATAAGAATATGTCTTCTATTCCTATGAATCAACATAAGATGCAATAATATGATTAGAATTTTTGACATAATCTAAATAATGCTATCCATGAACACAAGGTATAAATATCAATTTTTGCATAATGTACTGTAGATCACCCTTCCTTCTATATTGTTTATTTATCAATAATTGCATTGTATATATTTACACTTATATTTCATAGAAAAGTGTCTTGAACATTTTA